TCAAGCCACCACTATCATAATCAGACCAATACCATCAACTTCAGTCGCAATCGATTGATCACCACCATTGTTGAGATACACTATTGACCCGACTCGCAATTACATTGATATTTATATTCCTTAATATGCAAAAAAACTTAACTTAAATTATATTTAGCGGCTAGTGTGCAAAATTAAAATGATATAGAATTTAGAAAATAGCTTACACACTAGGGGTACTACGTAAGTATACATATTGTTTCAAGTAGTATAAGATTTTCTATAAAAACCCCAGTATCGATCCCACAGAGAACTGTGAACAATAATAAAAGAAATGAAATTAAAAAATTTTAACTTTAAAAGAACTTTACTTTAAACTATAACAATTAACTAAGGAAATAGTGATGAAAGTAAGTTTACTAGAATTCTACAAATGCAAGCAAAAAGTAAATGTAATGATTTTAAACAATATATAAAAGACACTTTCTCCTTACAAATAACTCATATTCAATATATGATTTTAATATGTTTAGGAACTTAAATGTGATATTGTGACAAATAGGAGCATACCTATTCTTTACCTCTTCCAAGCATAAAGAACATTGACTAATCTAAAGTTGGTGCCGACATGTTTAGTAGTGCTGCGTAAGTTCTATTCTCTCACTCCTAGATTACCCATTGCGCCCTCTCTATAGGAAATACTAGTGACTCGTAGTTCCAATCTCTAGACCAAATTGATAAAAGAATCTAGCTTGTCACTCTAGAAACATCAATTATACGCCCATCAAATGTTATCTCCCTATTTATTTGCACCCCCATTCGGGCGAACACAACTGCTTTTTCCAAGGTAGAATGTGATATTTACAAGTCAAGAAATCTTAGCCATTTCTGGTCTATAAGTTCCTGAACAGGTTTTAATAATACAAGTGAAAATTTTTTAAAGTAAATGAAGGACTCATAAAAATATCATCAGAATTTTTAGGATTAAAAGAAATTCCAAACAAAATACAAATCACCTACTTAATTACTTCATATTGCAAGGAGAAAGAAAGAAAACTACTAACGAAGCATGAGAATAACAAAACAAAACATATTTATAATACTTAAATCCAAAGTACAAGAATTAAAGACAAAGATACAAATACTTATCTGAAATGTTTCCCCAAGCACTCATTTGAAGTTATGTGACATTCTGACTTCAACAACACTTATAACACTCACAAAATTCAGGAATCACAAAGACTCACAAAGAACGTTATATGACTCACTATCCAACTTAATCTAACCTTATTTGACCCCCTATTCTCATGGAATTAATTTTTATTTATATAGCTTCAAAAATAATCAAGGGTAACTTCAGACATCTCCTCAAAATTTGGCATCTTCAAAATTTGGCATCATTCAAATTTGGCATCATTCAATGAATCTTCTAGAAAGTAACCGTCGCGCCTAGGCGTCAAACCGTCGCACCTAGGCGCCAACCGATTTCTGCATCTGATGCCTAGACGCCATTTCTGCTGCTTTGGTACTTTCCTTCAATTTAGCCCATTTTGCTCATTTTTGATGTATTTTTGTTTCTTTTTATTCTTAAACTTTTTTTGTTGCACCTACAAGCAAAAACATAAAAATACACTTCATTAAAGCGTAATATCTTAAAAAAAATGAGTATAAAATATACATAAAAATATATAATTTTAAGCTGGATCAACTATCATCAAATTACTTCTCACAAACATTGTTGCATCGAACCACTATCACCGGGCCACTGTTGTTGACGGAACACCGTTACCAAGTCAACCAAAGGCAATGCCAGTCCACCATTCCCTATGACTAGATTCACCATCGCTCAACCAACACTATTGTTGAGATACACCATTACAATTTAACTAATGTCGCTCGCTCCCCACCACTTTTGAACCACCATTGCTTAATCACCTCACCCCGCCACTACCACCACCAGATTACCATCACTCGTTTGACACCAAGCCACTGTCATCATTGTCAATACACAGCCATCACCATCATCATCAAATTATAGTAGCTTGTCCTTCATCAGTATTGTGATAAACTATTGTTGAAAAATTATCTCGCAGTGACTGTCACACTGAACCATTATTATCAAGCTACCACCGCTGCTAGACCACACTCACAAGCCAATTTCAAGCCTCTGTCAGCATTGCTGGACCATCATCATCATTGTTGGACCACCATCATGATTGTTGGACCACCACCGTCATTGTTGGATCATCATTACTCATTAGTAGCTGCTATTATAATACATCATCATCATTAAACTAATGTTGCTCCACTGCCGCCACCGCTAAACCACTGTTTCTTAACTAATGTTGTCGATGTTGCTTGACTATTATCACCCCACTATTAGTGTCGTCAGACTATCATCACCCGATCGATGCCCAACATCATCAAATCATAGTCACTTGGCCTTCACCAATATTATAGTATACCATTATCTATTGCACTGAACCACCATTATCGACCCACCACTATCTCCAAAGCACAGTCAAAAACCAATGTCAAGCCACTATCGATGTCGCTAGACCATCATCATCATTTTTGGACGACCATCATCATTCTTGGACCACCACCACCGTTGTTGGATCATCGTGTACACCGTCATCATGGAACTAATGTTGCTACGTCGTTGCCACAACTAGACAATTGTTGCCTAACTAATGTTGTCGCCATTGCTTGCCTACCGTCACCCCGTTATACCATCATCGCCCTACTGATGCTGCAAGACCCATGCCATAGTTGTGTGTTAATCGTTGCTCGTCTATCAACATTATTGCAATACACTATCATCGTGGAACAAATGTTGCTTGGACGTCACTACTGCTAGACCACCATTACCCAACTTACGCCATCATTGTCACTCAATCACCCTCTCTTAGCCAGGCTAGAACACTATCGCTCGACTGGTGTCGATGGACCACAACTGTTATTGTTGGACTTCGTTACCTCATTAATGCAACAACTACTGCTGTCATTATCAAACTATTGTTGCTATCAACATATCACCTTCTATTGACCCTCATTATCGTCAAACCACTATCACATACCATAGTCATGCGACTGACGGTACAATGACAATTATCATCATATCATCATCGTGCTTGATGATGACATTACCATTGTCACCTTATTAACGCCATTGTTGTCATAGATCTATCACTAAACTACCATCGTTGTCTAGCCATCGCTACTACTAGTGTCAGAGCAC